AATCTATTTGCTGTTGTTGCTAAATAAGGATAAATATCATAAATAGAGATGATCCCTGGGCTAGAGAATGGGCCCAGGATTCACAGGAGTGCTGTGTGCTTTCCTTCCAAATTTCCATCTGAATATGCCCCAGCATAAAAGTCAGTGCTCAGTGGTGTGAAAGAAAATACAAGGCCCTGGGGACACCTCATTATATTGCAAATCACTCAAGAACACCATTTCTGGTCCAGACCCTGCCCAGGCTTCCAGGCCTCTGCGGGCTCCTGGTGGGCCCAGAGGTTTCCCAGGGGCAATGCAGCCACAGTGGAACCGGTTCAGCTTGCAGATTTGAGGAAGAGTTCGGGAGATATTTCCCGGGAGGAGAAACAAGGGGCATCTTCTATGAGAAACGGAACTCTTTTCACATCATTCGCTCTGATTTGTGCTACATTAAAATAAACCTTCAGCGTCAGCTTCTGGTGCGAGCCCTAGGATTCTTCTAAATGTATCGCTTTTCTTTGTTAATCAATGGGGCGCCATGGATTTGACGCTCCCGTATTGGAGTACAGGCTCTGCAGTTATTTATTTACCAAGAGAGAAAGAGAACAGTGCTTCCATTCGCCACTCCTAAATTTATTGTCAGTCCTTCTGTGCGGTGTAAAATTTTTAGTCATCTTCAACAGCTCTTGGAAATAAGCATTCCAAATATATTCGCCTACTGTACAGAGATGTGCTGACGCCACTCCTCGCAATTTTGCGAGAGAGGATGGGAAATACGAGATCTACCTGGTAGGAAATGAATCTTGGGAGGAAAACAAAAAGCTGGAGGCTTGGTAAAGCTTAGAAAACATGAGGGATCACAAAGATGCCACCGGGAATGGCCCCCTGACAAGTGCCCGGGTTAATCACTGCAGGCATCAGGACAGGGGAAGAGGAGGGGTTCCCAGGACTAAGACAGCAGTGAAGAGTAAAAAGACACATATTCATGCAGGATGGTCACAACCCATGGTCAACCAATGGGCCCACTAGGTCTTCCATGCACACCCACTACCTGGCAACTCATACCCTACTCTCACTTCTGCCAAAATAAAGGGAAAAGTCCCGATGTCGGCTAGAGAATTAGCGTTGTGTTAACTCCAGCAAAGTGGAAGCCCCCAAACCTTTCTGCCAGGTGGGAGAAGCTTCATGAAAACCAACAGGAGACGAAGTTCTGATTTGCAACTATTTCACCCCTTAAGACAAAGGTGTGCCGGAGCTGGAGGGCATGTGTCTTCCCACTTGGCATTCAGTAACCCCTTAGCAGGAGTGTAAGACCAGCCATGGTGGAAATATTTACACCAGGAAAACTGTTAGTGTCTATAACTCCGGACTTGAGTTGTTTTCAGAGTTAATATGCCAGCACACAGATGCCTCGTATCCACACTGTTATCCATTCTCTATCCCCAGATTGCATATCTATTATTCATTCATTCAACCCATACTTATTGAGCTCTCAGTGTGTGCCAGCACTGTGGGGTAGGAAACGAGTCCCATTTCATTCCTGTGAAAACTGGAGTTCAGAAAAGAGAGCTGACTTGTTCAGAAACATTCAGTGGCAGCCCTCTGCCAGGGGCCAGGGATGCAGGGGAGATGACAGAGAAGTCCCTGCCCTCCGGGAGTTTACATTCCTCCCCCATTTCAATCTGCATGTGTTATGTAATAACTCACATTTCATTTTTATAAAGCGACTTAAGGGCATGTAAAACTGCCCATCAGAGCTTTGGATCAGTTGGATAGAATCAATGTGGTCACGTGGAACTGATGTCCTCCCACCAAAAGCAAAGACTTTTTATATGGCACTGGGGGAGAAGATGTCTTATTGCATGTTTGATTTCCATTCATATTACTGATGATCAAAGAGCATCACCAATAAACCCCTGGAGTAGGAATCCCTGTTCCTACTTTATACGTGAGCGATCTGAAGAGGTGACTGGCGGAGGCAAGGCTGGTCCTTCAGGAAGGGGGATGAAGACAGAGGTTGACGCCAGAGCCCCCCAAATGGGACTGCATAGTCTCAGGTGCTTTGTAAATAGAACAGTGCTTTACCAATGCCTGTGCTAACTGCCATAATTATTAGTTGTTAGAGTTATTTTATTTAAAAATAAAAGCAAAGGACCTTGTAACACCAAATGCAATCCCAGACTTCCCTTTCTAGGAGAAAGAACCCATGTTAATTGGTTCTCCCATCTTCCCGTCTAGTCTCTCGGGGTGGTGGGTGAGGGGAGTGGAGAGAGGGGTTGGGGAGCCAGGATTTTCAGTGAGTGCCAGTGCTCAGCAGTGTCTGAGATGATAAACAGAAGAAGATTCCGTTGGCTTCCCTGATCCAGTCTTCAGGCCTTTGCCAAATCAGAGCCATCACGAGACCCCTGCCTGCACCAGAGACGAGCAACAGCTGCTGGACATCGAGGCATCAGGCCCCATCCGCACAGTTAACCACTCTTCCTAGCAAAACAAAATGTTCTCGTTTATAATGATTTTTTTAAAGAAAAGTCATGCGAGGCATTAGAGTGGTGCTGAAGCTGGTTGTGCTCAAAAACTCCAAAAATGATAACAAATGTTTTTATTTTATTTCATTTTATTTTCCAAACCATATGGACTTGCCAGCTCAATGCATCACTGCTTGTTTATTCTAGAGCAGCTGTCGGCACCCTGATAATGCTATAGTACCGCTCAAGTGCAGACTGCCAAACCACAGTATATGGAAATCATCTCACAAATTGAAAGAAAAAAAAAATCCCATTTCAAATCAGATTCCAGCCATGAACTTCTGCAAGGAAGGGGGACGGGCAGGGGGGGATAGAATCCTATAAATAGTCTTCACATTCAGTATTGTTTTAGCTAGGAGAAAGTGTGACTTGTCTGGTTAATCACAACTAGTATTTGACCTTTACAAAGGTACAATTTATGTTTCATTGCCAAGTGCAACTTGGTGTTTTCTTCTTTTAATTACTGAACTATGATTCAGAAGTCAGCCACAAGAACAGAGTTTGGAAACTTGATTCCCTATAAGTTTTAGGCATTTTTATGTATTTATTTGTTTTGACCATGAAAAAATAACCACTCATGACAGAGGTAACCAGCCAAAGACACACATCTCGGCCTGCTGTCCTAGAATCACCCGAAACTTTTATTAGAGTCAGTTGACCAAATCCTGGTCATGTGTCCCACATAGAGAAGGATTAAGTTAAGCAGAGGATCTCACCACAAAGAGAAGTCCTGGGCTGGGGGAAGCAAGCTCTGTGAGAAGGGGTAGACCCTTGAACTTCTCTTTGGTCTCTATGGACCAAACTCCCACCTCTGGAACTTCCTTTACTGTCCATATATTATATTGCAAACAGCTGAGAAGAGGACTGGGCAGGAAGAGAAAGGCAGATCATAGGTGAAGTCTTCTGAAGTGTGAAGCCCACTGTCCCATTTAATCCTCCTCCAGACCTCAGTGAGGTGGGCATAGCTATTCCCATTTTACAGATGCAGGAACTGAGGCTTAGAGTGGGGAAATAACTGGTCCAAGGTTACTGGGGGTTGAATTGTATCCTCCAAACAGATGGTGAAGTCCCAACCCCTGGTGCCTGTGATTGTGATCTTATTTGGAAATAGGGTCTCTGCAGAGATAGTTAAGATGCAAGTTAAGATACAATCACACTGGGGTAGGGTGGGCCCTTAATCTGGCATGACTGGTGTTCCTTATAAGAAAAGGAGAAGAGACACAGAGACAACTGCTGTGTGAGGACACAGACATGCACAGAAAGGCAATGACGTAAGGATGCATGGGGTGAAGGCCACATGACAATGGAGGCAGAGGTTGGAGTGATGCACCCACCCATCCAGAGAAACTAAAAATTGCCTTGCTGGCAAGAGTAGAAGCCAAGAAAAAGACATGGAACAGATGCTCTCTGAGGCCTTTAGAGAGAGCAGAGCCCTGCCAACACCTTGATTTCAGACTTCTAGCCTCCAGAATTGTGAAAGAATTAATTTCTGTTCTCTTAAGCCACTTAGTATGTGATCATTTGTCAAGGAAGCCTTTGGAGACTAATACAAAGGGTTAACATGATCTGGGTACCTTACAATGGCTGGCTACCCTTTACACAAAGCAAGAAGCACTCTTACTTGGAATTCCAACACACTTCAAGGAAATCCAAAGACAAATGGCAAATGCAATATGGAACTGAGGGACTGGGGGAGTCCCTCCTTGCCTCCATTTAGGATTCATGTGTTGAATGCTTTCTTCACGCCATGCATGGGACCTGGGGCCAACAGTTTAGAGAAGAGGCAGCCATGGTCCTGCCTTGGAAAGCAATGATCCAGTGATGTTGGCATCATTACCCACAATGTATGAATGAGGTCCCTGGGAATAGAGATGGAGTGGCAAAGGAGATTGGAGGGGCTTAGATGCCAAACTCCAGCACAGGCTGACACTGGAGACCTGTCCTTGGGATAGGAGATGTCTAAAGCAGTGCTTGATGGCTACTTAGCATTAGATCAGATGACACAAGGAAGTGGCAATTAAGATACACTTTCAGTAAGGACCTCTGGCAGTGAGGTCCACCTTGGGGAGGTCAGGGGACACTGAAGAGAAAAGCTAACTGGTGCAGAAGCCTTGCGTTGGCAAGAAAGGGAAGTCTTGGGCCTTCCTCCCAGGAAGGCCTCAGATGGCCAGGTGAGTAGTTTCATGCTTGGGAGCATGCTATGGGTTTGTAGAGAGGTCAGACAGGCTAAATGCCTGAGCTGGTTCTGAATAACGAATCTAGCAGGAGAAGAGCTTGAGGAGCCAATTGCTGTGCCCAGACCCATTTTTGGACAGTGGCTTTTGAGATTAGTTCATTTTTCCAGAATTGGTCCAGTCAGTTCTGGTGCTGGGCATCTACCATCATTTAGCCAAACCTGTGGGCTCCCAGGCCTTGATTTAGGCATTTGCTGTTCTCTCAAGGGACATGACATCATCCAATCACTGGTACAGGTCCTCTTGATAATGGGCCCCATCATCTCATTTGGCAAGAGAAATCCTACCAAAAAGAAACCCCACCTCAGTTGGGGCAGAGGGTGAGTAGTGGGTTTAAGGACTGAAGAACCATTTTGCTCACGTGGGAATTTCTTTGGGGCTCTTCAAACATTCACTTAGCAATAAAGTTTATCCTTCATCACATGTTGCAGTTCTGATTTCTTCCTGGGTTTCAGGCTTGCACCAATTAGTACAGACACAAATTTCCATGTTTTTCAGTATGTCTATTAACTTGTCCACTATTCTATGTCACTTTACTGAGTGTCTGTTTTATGTCAGGCACTATGTTACACTCTTACATCATTCTGAACATTTGCACATTTTCTCATTTAATCCTAATGGCATCCAGGTGTGACGATCTCTATTTTACAGGTGAGGGCATTAAGGCTCAGAGAAGTTAAGGTCCTTAAACAAAGTTAAGTAGCTACCAAGTGACAGATCACAGGCTTCAAATCCTTGTCTCTTGATTCCAACGCCTGTATTTTGACCTACTATGTTACCTTTTGAAAAGATTTAAAGATGAGTAATGTCTTTTATTTTACTTCCTAGACCTCAAAAGAACAAGCCCATGATCTATTTATTGGCTTACAGAGGGGGAAACCCCTCTTGAAATACCCTGCTCCTTTGAATCCTAGCAATAGCCCCTCCCCCTCCACACACACAACTGAGTCCATAACAACCTCCTTACCCTTTGAAAGGACCCCAGAAACAATGTAAAATTAAGTTCGCCAATCCCTTAACCCTTTGACCTAAGAAAATATGCCAGGTAAACACCCTCATAATGTGTTTCAGGTAGTGAGGGTACCTGTATCTCTTGTTCTACATAGTAATTGCTCTGATGAAAAGCTGCATGTAATTAATTACAAGTAAATCTGATGTGATTTAAAATGTACTATCAGAACTTCTATTGAAAGTAGTTCTGCAGCATCTTGGTTTGTAAAATGATTAGTCCTCTTGTAATTTGTCCATTTACACATCTGTTTTTTTAAACCAGAATGATAGGAAAGCTGTGTCCTTCCGTCTGTTAAAGGGGTTGGTTATTTCTTTTTTCTTCCCCTCCTCAGAAGCACCTCTGACTTAAGGTTTATCAGTCCCCCAGCATTAAGAGATGTAAAGCTTCTAAATCTCTATTATGTGTTTAACATAGTTCTTTAAAAGAATTCACCCCCAGATAGGATATGCAGTCCAAGTCTTTGGGTCTCAGTTTTGTGATCTAGAAAACGGAGCTAAATATTCTTTTCATTAGCTTTTTTCTGATAGTCAAGCATCTCGCATCTCCCAGGTCCCTAAGACAGTTTCTAGTCTAGCATGAAGCAGAAGTGATGAAAAGAGTGCCTCTTCCACACACAGAAATGATGAATTCTAACTTGGAAAGAGAAATAACAATAAACAAATCACTAAAGCCACCGGGGTTATGAAATGTCTTATACTGACCAGTACATCATGCCGTATGTGATTCACTCATTGGAATCCTCACTGAGCACTTAAGACTACACTCAGAGTGAAGGAAAGACTCCGTGGAAATAGCAGCTATTAAAAAAGGTCATGCCCTTTCTGCAGCTTCCCTCCCCCTGACTCCAGCTGGAGGCCGTGGGAGGAGGAACGAGTGGTCTTCCCAAAGTCAGACAAGACCACACCTGCCCGGGAGGGTGTTGGTTTACAAGCTGGCCGCAATGACAGCTGACTTCCCAGATGTTGGACACTTGCCACCAGGGAGCAAGCAGTGGGCAAAACACATGAAGAGTTCCCTTCAGACATCCACATACTGATCAGATCTGCTAAAGACGGCCCCAGCATGGCAAAGGCTCAGGTTTTATTTTGTTCGGTAGCTCTGTCCAAGTTTTCTGTCTTTGTCATAGCTTTGTCTTTTCTGTAATAACCACAAATAATGATTAAAAGCATAACTCTACACTTTACTGTGTTTCCTTCAAAAATTTTCTGGAACTCTCTAAGTCTCCCTTTTCTTATCTTTAAAGAAAGCATAAGGTTTCTGTGAGGATTGAATAAATACACACTCAGCACTCTCCCTGGTCCACAGAAAGCATCCAGTAATTTAGATGCCCTCGTTGTTTCTTTCATTGTGATGTTGGCGATGGTGGTGCTCATGTGCTGCTGCTGATGGTGGTGGTGGTGAGGAGGGCGGTGGTGATGGCGGCAGTGATGGTGGTGGTGAACAGTGAAAGTTGTTACTATGATATACTTGGAACTAAGATAGTCTCAGTCTCTGTCCTTGACTCATTTTCCACTATCTCATTGGCCTCTACAGTCCATTCAAACTCCAACCATCATTCTTCTCTTAGTGTTCCCACATGTCTACCCACCTGATACAAGTCCATCTCACCATCTTCCTTTCTCCCTATTCCTCTTCTCACATGAAGCTCTCCCACCCCAGGCCATTCCACCTGGCTCACTGAACCCGAACACTGCTCACGTCCATGTACCACTATGTCTTCATGTGTCTTTCTTCTTTCAGAGTCACTGTGGCTCTTTTCTCTTCTAGTCTATCCATGTCAAGGCCGCTGGCTCCTGGGAGAAAGCTGGCATGAGAGAAGTACTTTGGTTACCCTCTTATGGTTTCTCACAATTCACCACAACCCCAAACTCACTGGTATGTTGGTATGGGCCACTTGCATGGTGACTGCCAGGGTCCAACATAAGCAATTGACATTCCCGTAGGGTCTCTAGCCGACTGGAATGGTGGTAAACACTCTTTGCTGCTGCGGAGAGTGATCTCTTTGTGGTTCCTATCACATTGCTAAGCTCCCCATGAACACAAGATCCCTGGCTGAGAAAACTTCCCTTCATAGGCTGAGGGAGCAGCCAGTGGAACTTAGGACAATGTGATATTTTAGAGTACAAGCTTTGAAGTCAGGGGGTCCAGGAGTGACATCCTGACTCTGAAACTACTAGATGACCTTGACCTTGACAGGTTATTAAACTCTAAATATCAATTGCCTCATCCATACAGTTGAGATTCCAGAACCTACTTCTCAGGATCAATTGAAGATTAAATGAAACAATATATTTAAAATGCTGAGGTTTGCATCTAGCATATAACAAATGTTCAGTAAATATTGCCCATAGTTATTTCTCCTTGGCTTAAAAATATAAAGTATAATCCAGCAATACCTTTATTAAAAGTCATTCCTCTTGTCCAACTTCACAGAGATGCTGAAGACCAAGGTGACTTCAGATGAAAGGCAGAGTACTAGAGGCCCCGGACAAAAGTCCTGAGACCTCTCAGATCTCAGGAGGTACAGGAAAAGGTACAGTGCATGAAGATGAGATCTAGAAAAATAAGAAAATTAGGCCTCACTTAAATTACCTTTACCCAGCATTAATCACAATGAATGCCTCATGAAGTCTATTTTTATACCAACATTAGAGGTCAAAGCTAGTGGAGATTTTGAATTTTTTTTTCTCCTTCTCAAATTACTCAGAACTCAAAGTGGAAAAGATGACCTGTTGGTTTGCTGACTGGATATTTTAGGCAAAGTCATGAGGTACTGACTTTCCTTTCCCCAGGACGGAGTAAGGTGATGCTTTGTCAACCACCTGGCTAATTTCATTGCTGTTGACAGTTGATCCTGATAATGTGGTCAGCAAAGTAGGCTGGGGGCTCCTGTATGATCCACTCTGGCTCCTGGATTTCCCATATGGGCTGTCTCCATTGATCAGATATAATCGAATAATGGCTGAAATTCTGCTTCTCGATGGGCCCTATAGGTCATTTCTTTATGACATGACCAAATTGGCCATAGCGCATTCAATTTGTTTTAATGGCCAACACAGAGGCAATTAAGCGGATTGACTGTGCAGCGATCCAAATTGTCCATTAAGAAGGTGGCCAGAATAACTGGACCAAAGGCATGTACTCCCCCTAACCACTTATTTTGGGATGTCTAGACTTGGCTGCGCCTTTAATTTTCTTAAAGCCCCTGTTAACTAGTTCTGTTTAATGTTGCTACTACAGTTCTTTAGAATGAAGCAAAACAGGTTGGGAAAATAAAGGGGGTTTTTTAGGATGATCCTGAACTTTCTGATCTGGGTGAGGTAATAGAGAGCAAGCACCTCATGTGAGCTCTGGAGATTTACAAGGATATGAGAAATTAAATTCATTGGTGTAGATTGCTACTAATACTCATTTTATGAGGAGGGATTTATCTTTCCACATTAGCAGCCCCCAAGGTTGTGATATGTCTCTATAATATGAGCCTGCATTTGAACAATTGACAATTCACTTCATCTGTTCCTACTTTGCTAATTCAATCTGCAAAGGAAAACTACTCTTGCAGGAGTTTTAAAGATGAAAAACGCACCTGCTATATCATTGAATACAATTGATCTTTGAGTGTGCATGTTTAGATATATGCATTTAATTCCTTTGTACAAATATAGGAGACATTCTATATAAGAAGGCTTGTTTATCAGGCAGGGATAGAGTGTGTCTGCTCAAATGTTTTCACCTAGAAGTTTAGCAGTAGAGAACTAGTTGTGCCGACAGAAACAGCTGCCTCCCTAAAATGAGCCAAGTAATGTTGTTTTCTTAGGATTGTTGAAAACAATTTGGAAAAATCTATACAGGGTGCCTGGCATGGTATTTTACTCTTAGCGTTGCTGTAATTATTATTAGTAGTAGTATTAGCACTAATATTAGTATTAGTATTTAGATACTCTGGGATCCCCCTAAGATTTTGCATACTGGCAGAAAATGGACAATTATTAGTGATCTTAGATGCTCGCCACATGCCAGTTTTTCTAAAACACAAAAACTAGCCTATGTAGAAAATATTTATATTAACCATTTTTCAGGTTATGGAAATGGAGGCTCAGACCTATACAAGTTTATGGCCAGTAGGACATGGGTGCCATTTTGCTTTCCTCTGAAGTGTTCGTTTTTTTTCAGACTGTGTGTCACCTCAGCTTGTTGCTATTGCCCTTCGCTACTTTGGAGCACACTGTGCTCCAGGAATTGATGCGAGAGATAACTCAGATAGTGGAGGATCATAGAAGGTCCATTCTAGTTGCTCCCCAGTTTGAGGAAATGGTTAGAGCTAGTATCAACCACCTGGCATATAGCAGGGATGCAGTGGCATGTACTGCATGGGTAGATGAACCCCTCAGACAGAGGGAAGGTTGGCAGAACAGTGTTCTCAGGGCCTGCTCACTTGTCTTAGGCCCCAAGTAAAATCCAAGAGGCTCCATGAGAAACTTGAGTCCATGGATCTTTGTTGTGATATCCCTAACATAAATACTTTTGAGGGCATATCTCTTTGCTGTTTCTTAATTTAGGGAGAAAGGTTACTTTTGTGACCCTAAGGTAATGGCTTCCCTTCTGCTGTACCTCCCAGCTCCCCCAGGACCATTCAATAGCCCACACAGTGCTCCCATGTATAGTCTGTGGTAACTTTAATAATTCCTGTGAAACAAGAGTCACCTTATCAAATCTGCTCTTTTCTTATGCTGACACAATTAGCCAAGTGATAAAATTCTTTAAAATGAAAGAAAACACTAAAAAATATTGATTTTCTAGAGCTGTAATATGAAATGTACCATTCCCAACTAAAGCAGGGACTAATTTAGAAAAGATGCATAAATCTAAAACTATCTGTGTGCAGTGGCATTATTTTTAAAAGTGTAACAAAAATTATATATATGGAAGCTTGTCTATCATTAAATTGCTCAGTTTGGATTTCCACTAATAAAATACAAGGACTCGTTACTATATTAGGCAAGTCACTCCTATTATTAATTTGTTAGATAAATGGCTTCTACATCTTGGAACTTTAAATGAAATGGAATTCACTAATCCTAATTGCTTTGCCTTCTACCGGAATTTTTTCCCATTAGTTCAGCATGATTTTTTTCTCTTTTCCACTTGAAGAGAGGAGCCTTCTTCAACTTAAAGCCTTGGGGTATACTTCACGGGTTTATTAATTATCAGGTATTCATTCAGAGGGGTTAATTAAGCAATAACTTTCTGTTGAGTGTGGTATACAACGAATAAAAGGCTCGACTTGGCCTGCTGATTAAGCACCTCGTCACTGTGCCTTCGCCTTCCTCCCTGCGGTTGAGGGAAATAAAAATCTTTGACCAGCTCTGGGCTTCGGTTGCCAGGCCACGCAGGAGACCGGTTAAAACCAGTTTACCATTACAACTCAAGCCACCTTGAGATCATCCCAAAGAGAGAAGGGACTCCTGCTCGTCAGGGCTTCTGAGGGGGACTTTGTTCCCGGAGCCTTCTCTAATAATCACTCTGCTTGCTTTTCAGCCCAAAGCTTTAACATTTGCATTTTTCCTCCTATCAGCCAACTGCTCAAGACATTTTTTTTTTCCTTTGGCCTCCCAAGTCTTTGGCACACTTTTGAGCAGCAGAAGACAAAAAGTGATCTTGTTTCTTGAAAGTTTGGTAAAATTAAAGTAAATCATCATGGTGATTTACTTTAATCATGGTGCGTGGTAATTCCACACACCAGGCAGGGGTGGTGGTAGTAGTTTGGATGTTTTCTTGGTAATTTTGATTTCAGAATACATCTACCTAGGTTCGTGCTCAGTGGTTGTGGTCCCCAAAGACGGAGACAGAAGCACGCCATACGTGCAGGGATGGTGTGCTTTTGAAGGACTGACCAGCATCTCATCAAGCAAAAAAAGGAGAGGAATAAGTTTCCTCTAACACAACTCCATTAACCCAGCTTTTAGGAGGGGTGAAAATAAAGCAACTTTATCACCAGTGTCTTGGAATGCTCTAGAATGTTCCTCTGGGAAGGGACAAAAAGGAAAGCTCAGGAAAAACCCATTCAGCAGAGGCTTCTAATGCTCCGGCTAATCCTACCTGAAAATTAGGCAGTGATAGGGGAGCATGGGAAACTGCACCTCTGGGCTGGCAGGCCCATCTTCTGCTACTCTGACTTCTAGAGTTATTCAAACCAGACGACACCTCAGCTGGGAGGACATGCAGCACTGACTATGGTGGTCACAAACATGGATTTGGCACAATTTGCACATGGATTGCAGCCATGGCTCTGTCACTTATTATCTGAGTGACCGTGGGCAAGTTGCTAAGCTCTCTGATAGCCCCCACACATATGATCTCATTTTTTTCCACACACTACTTGATGACATAGGTATTTCTCCATATAATGAACAAGGAAATAGAGGAATATAGAGGTTAAGTAAGTGACCCAAGGCCACACTGCTCTCTCAGAGGTTGATACAAAATCAAATAAAATGGACATAAAATCCTTCATACAACACTGGTCCTACCAAATGCCTGATAAATGTTAGTGGCCGCTGTTATTATCTCACCCACACCAACTTTTCCTTAGCTAAACACTCTCTACTTCTAAAAGAAGTAGGTCTCCACATGGTGACTACATTGTTTTAAATGTTACTGACATAAATATATTCAGTTTTCTTGTATGGAATTCTGACCTCCCAACACACACATGCACATGTACAAGTAATCTTGCTCGGAGTTCGTTGTGTTTTGTAAAATCTACAGCGTATCAGAGTTATATGGAGAATCCACTCTCCGTATATGGAGATACACACACACAGGCCACAAAATTAGCTCAGTACACGCCTTGAGGAAGTCCATCACTGCCTTCACATAAGTACCTATGCAATGGTGACTCTCTTCCAAAGAGTTTAGCGTGGAAAGGAGGGAGCAAGGCTGACCTGTGTGGTGACATGCACGGCGGAGAAACCTGACAAACACTGCTTCAGCCAGGGTATCAAGGTCAACATCAACAGTAATAATTATGTTGATATTATGCACTGTGTCTAATATGGCATGATGTGATGAGAATGGCACTTTACGTCTAGGGTCATCCTCCACCAAATCCATACCACCCGTCCAATCATGAGAAAAACATTGGACAGATCCCCAAAGGCAAGTCTGAGAAACCATCACAGCCCAGAGAAACTCAAGAAGACATGATGACTAAATGCAGGATGGGATTCTTGATGGGATCCTGAAATAGAAAAGGGACACAAGGTAACAACCAAGGATATCTGATTAAATTATAGACTTCAGTTAATAATGATGTATAGATACTGGTTCATTGATCGCAACAAATGTGTCATACTAACGTGTGATGTAAACAATATGGGAAACTGGATGCAGGAGGAGGGGGAAGAATAATCAGAAACTCTGTCCTATTTGCTCATTTTATAAATCTACAACTGTTTTTAGAGTCTATTATTAAAGATTATAAAAATCAATTTTAAATAATGTTTAAATGCATATGACCAAGAGAGGCATGCCTTCCTTACTGACTCCATGGCCA